TTATTATTATTATTATTATTATTATTATTATTATTATTATTATTATTATTATTATTATTATTATTATTATTATTATTATTATTATTATTATTATTATTATTATTATTATTATTATTATTATTATTATTATTATTATTATTATTATTATTATTATTATTATTATTATTATTATTATTATTATTATTATTATTATTATTATTATTATTATTATTATTATTATTATTATTATTTATTTCAGATTATCAAACACGCTTCACTTTGTCTCCTTCTCTTAGCATAAAAATCAAAAGATGACTGCGAATTTAAAAATAAATATAATTTAAAATATGGAAACAACAAAAGCTTCCATGGCATGAAATTAAAGAGCTTTCAAGTTTCCAAAATGGCAGAGACAAGAAGAGGAAAGGAAGAAATATCCTACTCTCCACAGTTGGCAAGCTCAGTTCCTTCTAGAAATCGATGATTTCTATGAGAATCTCTCAGCATGCAAATAGAATTAGGGTCTGTATTAGACATTTTATAAAGTTAGTTAGTGAAGTTAATGAGATAAATAAAAATTAGCTTTTCGTGTAGAAACTTACAAAAAGCAGTAGTCAAATAAAATTGTGGTTGAAAGCTGTCCCAAACCGACCTTTAATTCCATTCTACTTTGAGGAAGAAGAAGAATATTAAGCATTAATGGAGAAGCTGTAGCACTTAAAGTTGGTTTTCAGAACAGTAGGAAGACTGCTCTCAGTTTGGATTTGAGGTCACATCCATAGGAAATAGCATAGAAACTTTATCTGCTGGCCAAAGGAAACGGACAGTAGGTGCATAACATTATAGAGCTGTGATTGCGGATTAATTATTTTGTGCGGATTTCAGACATCGTCTAAAGGCAAATCAGAGCATGACACATTCGCGGTTGTGTATCCTTTATGTACCGGATGACGTAGCGTGCTCTTATTCGTCTCCAGACATAAAGCTATGTCTGGTGTCCGCACTGAATAATTTCTTGTGATTGTGAAGAGGTCTTGTGAAGGTTTCTTTTGTTGTATTTAATGTTGTGGCAGACTTGGTATTCATATTGATAGTTGAAGTAATTTTGACTCATTTATTGATAAAGTTAATTGGTTAGTGATAATATGAGGGCTATGGAATATAATAAGTTCATAATTCAAAGCTTGGTGTAGTCAATAAAATCATAATCAACTCTATTATAAAAAAAAGATAGTGATTTTTAAATATTAAAGATACAATATTATTCTAAATTTTTTGTTTATACTATGAATGTTTATTTTGATTTTAAAAAAAATTGATACAATTTTTTTCTTGATAAGTTTATAAAAAAATTTATTTTCAATAAATTTATAATTAAAACAATGGTCACATTGCAATGATTCCATTGACACTAAGAATATTGAAATTGACACCATACTAGATGAATTAAGGCTTATCGAACTGGTTAGATCAGGTTGATTATGGGAGCTTCTTCGTAATTCGATCTATGGATCCCTTTTAATGAATTGCTAAATATTTTATTAGATTTTTTTTTTATTTTTAATAATGAGGATGATGATCATTTTTCACATTTCTAGAAGACTTTAAGTGAAAATTTCAAAGCTCCAAGTTTCAAGTGTAACATAGTGTAGTTGTCTTTGAATTTTAATATAAATGGGTATAGTAGAATTATCAAGGATCTCAAAGATGATGAAAATATAATTAAAATTAATTAATTTTTATCTATATTTAATCAGATTGTATTTTAGATGTTATAAAAAAAATTATTTCATAGTTTTTTAAAATTTCATTTAAGTTGTCTTACAATACTTGAATTATATTATATTTCATCATCAACATCATCATCATTATATGCTATAAACATATGCTCAATTTGCTCATCATATGATCATTGATCACATATCATCATGAGCAAATTTAGTTGCTATTAAAATTGCATTATATTTAATAAATTTTCCAACTATGCAAAACTATGTCAATTATATCATTGTTATCTAGAAATTGATCTTGATTGATTTTATATCAATCCAAAAAATTTATATAGTTAGTGAACTTTATTTAATTAGATAAATTAGTCTTAATTATAATTATTTATTTTGCATAAATTTGATTTCATTTGATGATAAGAGCTCACTCGATTGAGGAAATTTTTAGAATATTTTTAAAGATTTTTTTAAGGGATGTTTTAAAAGTATTGTAAGTCTATAAATACCATCTAATATTGATAGCAAAAAAATCCAATTGATTTGTAAAAATTAAGAACTTTCTTTGTAAATTCATTTGGAGTGCTTTTGTGTAGAAACAAAAGTGTTATCAATCAAAATAAAATTCTTGAGTTCATTCTTAATAATATCCTAATCTCATTCAATCTCTTAAGCTTTATTGAAAATTTGTATATCACACACAATATTATATTAGTTGGTTATTTTCATCATTCACCATTAGTTATAGTTCATATATATATATATATATATATATATATATATATATATATTTTATTTATTTATTTATTTATTTTTTTTTTTTTGTATAGAAAATTTTTCATCATCTACTAGGAGAGTGGGCACTCTAGCTCAAAAGAATAAGTAATTGAGTTACATTTGTCCTAAGGAATAAATGTGTACAATGTGAAGTAGTAGAACTATATAATTTAGTTTCATTTTATTAATTACTTTCTTAATTGAAGATTAATGTTGTGATAATTATTTTGTGTGGTGACTAACACACTTGTAAGATTTGACTAATTAATTAAAGTATGGGTGTTCTAATATACTTGAATGTAACATCATTTATATTGTAATTAGAACTTGGACAATCACTTATAATGGCTTATCATCATATTTTATACATCTTTATCTCATGCAATTGTACACTTGTCAATTAAATGTGTTATTTAATTGTCCAAGTAATTACCTTCATAAGTAATTTATTTGTAAGGATTTTAAATTTGTAAAATTTCAAAATAAAAACCTAAGTGCTCCATTCACACATTCTCCTATTTCAAAGAAGTGTGGCTCTCTATAATCAAGAACTATAACTAATGGAATCATTTTAACCATGGCTTCATTTGAGACTCCTTTTTTACTATTTCTTAAAGTAATTTTCTAGTATAAAAATTTTCATTTTTTACTAAAAATTTACTTTAAGTAGTAAGAAAGCTGTCCCAAACGAAACCTTAGTTGACTGGTAATTTTTCCGCTTCTTGAATTTCCAAATTTTTTTTTAAAAAAAACATGTAATATAAATATGAGTAAGGGCTCCAACCATGATAAATATTTTAGTACTTAATAATTTGGCTATGTATATAGGACATCAAATCACCATTTATTGATCAATATAACATCAGAACCCCACCTTAATAGTGAATAAGTACAACACCAAGACATCAACTCCCACCACTCAGAACATATAATTGAACCATGAATTACTTACAATGGCTTTTACTCTTCCCCCTCATTATTTGAGAACAACAGGCCTCACACTGCAGAGTGAGAGCCACAGAAAAACAAAATACCGTAAAAAGATGTAAAATTTTGTCTCACTAAACAATGTGGACGTGTGTGTCTCAGTGAAGAATTCTAAGAGAAAACAATGAAAGCATAGCACAATTAGAGAGATAAAAGCATGAGAGAAAGGGAGACCTGCAACAAGCACTGTAATAAAAACATGAAATGCAGCTTACCTCAACAGCAACTGAACACCAAATACAATGGAGAACTGAAGTTGAGCCCACTTCAAACTAGAAAAATAGGAGAAATGATCCATTCGAAGCTATCAGACCAAGTAAATTATGCATCTGATATTTGTTGGAATCGTCAGATATTAGTTTGGAAACTCAAATAGAGAAGATCAACATCACTATCATTTGGATTGTCATAAGGCAACAAGTTCAGAGATCTATAAATTGCACATCTATAGCGATCTTTAGAAGACAGTAGGATTCACAGAAACAATAACTTCTTCATAAACAAGTAACCAAACTCTATATCATTCCCGTCTTGTTGGTGAAATGCTGCAATAAAGAGATTTGACAACTAAATAAGGTCAATAAGCAGGCCAAAAAAGAAATAGAAATGTGAAACTATGTGATCATTGTTACCAGAGCTAACCGATGATATATGTCATAAGGACTATGTTCTGATTGAGAAATTATTCCGTGCAGAGTCCGGACAGTAAAGAACCATTCGGATGTGACTGTACACTGAGTATAATTTGTATACAATTTTATTTTTTTTATACAATGTGTGTACAGACACTGTGTATACTCACATCCAGACGATTCTTTATCGTGTGGACTCCGCACGAAATAATTTCTCGTTCTGATTTGTTGTAAGGGCTGGAGCCATGATCATGATCAGGACTATTCTCTCACGGCCTCCACATACCGGATTGCAGATGATTACACAGCCTTTTCCTATCAGAAGAATAATCCCGTCCTGTCAATCAGGACTGCAGTGATTTCTACTGCATGCTCCACTGAGATTACCAGTTCACCATTCAGGAGATTACCAGTTCCAGCAATTTACTGCAGATTTGGGAGGGTAATTAATGAAATGAAGACACATTGATACATGAACAAGCTTCACTCTGGATGAAACATTGGAGAAAATCAAGCATAACAAAAAAAAAAGGATCAGGAGCAGAAGCCTGATCTCCATACATTCAAGGTAAAGTGGTAAACTATGTGGCAAATCATTTTACTTAATTTACTCCATACTACCTATAATCTATCCCTTTTCAAGCTAAACATTATATGAATTCTATCTTTCATCAAGACTCGTAATAAGTGCTTCGGAATGGGCCCAGAGAATCCTCCATTCATTCACCAATCACCATGTTGAATACTAAAAGAGATGTGAATTTTATTACGCATAGATTTTTTTTTTTTGTGAATTCTAGCCATTTATTAGCCTACCCCTACACCTACTCAACCAATAATTATATCCAGTTACTTTAATGGTGCATTCTCTGTCATATGTTGCATTTGACTAAATCGCACAAATCACTTTTTCTCTACCTTACCTTAACAGGGTTGTATTCTCCGCCATTACTCAGATATAAAAAATTCTTCCATCCTTAATTATACCACACATAAATACTACCACTTTCATTCCAAACAAATTAACTCGGACTATCAATGCCTTCTTTATTTTTCAAAACTCAAATCCTTTGGGGTGTGAAAAAGTAATAGAAAAATAAATCTAAACCAACAACTTTAGTCAAAATCTTAATAGGTCTTAAAACACTCAAAATTGATCAAACAAGTTGACTCTCAGTTCCTATAAGCCCAAAATCAATTCAAATTAAAACTCTGAGGATTTACAATATTGACCGTAAATCAATTCAAACTTTGGCCACTTCGTGATGGGCTCAAGAACATAAGTCAAGAAGACTAAAGTGCAAAGATTTATCCAAGGTCATCTTAGTCTAATATGTCTGTTTATATTATATATTGTAAACTATTTGTCCAAGGGTGATTGAAACAACTAAACATTGCAATATCATTATTGTAAGTAAACAAAATTTATTTTCAAGTAGTTATATTTATATAAATTAAGAAATGCTTTGCCAAATATAACCAAACCACGTATTGAAGGATTGTACATATGATCATCAATCATAAATATGATTGATTGATCATACAAACGATTAAAATTGAACATAGTATTTATACATAGGAAGAATGATATATTGTTGTAAATAGTGTTTTAAAAGGCATTTTAGGGCTCACCTAAGGAGGGGCAAACCAAAATTGCCGAGGCAAAACCAGGGGAGAGGCATTCAACACGTGTGGCATACTCCTCACAACTCGAGGCAGCATCCCAATTGCTTGGGGCATACCTTCTATAAACCATAAGATAATTCTCCCATATTATAATTTAGGCGAACTTAAATTAAATGATTAAAAATCTCTAAGCAGCTATATAATGAAATAATTTTTTTAGTTTAATATATTAAACAAATGTCTCAAAGTTATTTTTAGAGCATATAAAAGTAAAAAATAAAAATAAAAAATTGGCCGCCTCAAACAGCTTTCCACTCATTGTTCCCTCACTGGCCCATTTCTCATTATTTTTCCCTCAAAAACTTACTCCCTTACAAGCTCACTCGATAGTTGCTTCTCCCACACAAAAGTGACCTCGTTCCTTCATTGACTCACTCAATCATTGCTTCTACCACATTTACTTGCTGACTCAATTAATCTCCATCATTAACTTTGCCCAATCAATAACTCATTGGGATTACTTTGCCTCAATCAACTTGATAGCCTGCACCTCTAATCTTGACAGCAAACACCTTAGTTGATGCTAGAGTTGTATCTTTCATTGACGTAGTCGTAAGACTCGACTCATTGCAAGCACCTCTGAATAAATCTCTAAAGTCAATTATAAACGATTAAATTTATAAGGTATTTAATAACTTTTTTAATCATTATAGTTCATATGGCATGACTCTTTAAGATTTTGAGATTTTAGGGATTTTGATGTTAGTTATCTTTCAATTTTTATATAATATGCATTTTGTTTAGCTCTATAAATTAGGCACCTAGTTGTTAAAATCCGGACAAAAGTTCTATGTTTGTGTTATAAGATTTAGAGTTAAAATATGTATGTAATGATTATGGACATTGAATTTCATAATCTTTTTCAATTTTTTTCTAGCATTTAATTTATGAAACATTTTAAATATGAAAGTCATGAGGCTCGAGCCCTCTATTATGGAGGCTTTGCCTTTGCTAGCTCCATGACAAGTAAAACACCTGTCTTACACCTTAGCCATTTAAAATATTAGTTGCAACTAGTCACTATAGGACCCCTCATCTTAAACCTCAGCCACAAAAACTATTGATTTCAATAATGGGCAATAAATATTTCAATTTTTTTCTTATATCCATTTTTAGTCACTTTTAATTTACAATATATTATAAATAAAAAATGCATGGGTTTTAAGCCCATGCCACAAATTTTGGGCCTCCAATCGATCAATAAAAGAGAGTTTATAAAGCACAGAAACAGTACCTCAATATAAGCCTCAGCTAGCTAGACCGAGTGAAGAACATAGAGGCATGCGCGCATCAAGTCAAATCAGAAACTTTATTTAAGGTTTGAGGGGATGACAATACCGGGAACATGACACAAGCAATATCAAATATTCCTTTCAAGTGACATAAAGAAAGCATATATTAGAATTTTAATTAATCAAACGCTATAAAATGCATATTAATGTGACAATTAACACATAAATGTACCATGGTGTGTGCAAGAAACTAACATTATAGTTTATGCAATGAAAATGATCATGCATGCATATAATTGACATTATAATCGATACTAAGATATTGGTGTACCATGAGACATGCAATATTTCAACATTTATAAAATCAGCAAGTAAACTATGTTTAACATATTTTTTTATATGCCCGTAGTTTGTTTGTTTGTATACCATAAAATGTGTATGCAAGACAATGAGATTATGATGATGCAAGCAATGACGTGCTCATCCCTTTTTTTTAAGTAATTATGAATGGTTTTATTGAAATCAAAGAAGAAATTATAACATAAAGCTTATATTTGGATCCATAAATTTCAATAAAATCAAATCATACAACATACATGATCATTAAAGTCTTCAATAATAATGAGTTTTTATTCAAGTATTGTTTCTTCATTTTATCAAAGATACATTCAATACCACTTATTTACAACAACAACAAGCCTTTATCCCACTACGTGGAGTCAGCTATATGAATCATTTGACTCAATTGTGTTCTGTTAAGAATCAAATTCTTATTTAAATCTAATAAAAAAATATTATTTCTAATATTTTGTGACCAAGTATTTTAGGTCTACCTTCACATTTCTTAACATATGTCAAATCTAATACATCTACTCTTCAAACCAGGTCATCAGAAGGCCGACATTTGATGTGACCAAACCATCTAAGGAAGGTCTCTCTAACCTTATCTTCCACTGGAGCTACTCAAACTTTTCACGTATATACTCATTTCGCATTCTATCCCTAAAAGTGAATCCACCTGAGCATCCTTATCTCTGCAACACTTAACTTAATTTTATGCTTCTCTTTTAATGGCCAACATTCTGTGCCATGAAGCATTGCAGGTCTCACCACCATCTCATAGAATTTTCCCTTAAGTTTGAGGGATACTTTTCAATAACACAACAGGCTGGATGCATCCCTCCACTTCCACCATCCAACTTGAATTTTATAAATAATATACTCATCTATTTCACTATCACTTTGGACAATAGACCCGAGATATCTAAAATGTGTACTCTTTTTTCCTTCAACTCCCTCCCTAGTCTTATCAACAAGAAGAATAACATAAGCAAAAAGCATACACCATGGTACATCCACTTGTAAATGTCTAGTAAGAAGATCCAATGCTAAAGCAAAAGGATACGGGTTTAAAGTTGATCCTTGATGTAATCCAATTGAAATAGGAAAATACTTGTTCAAACCACCATGTGTTTGAACACAAGTAACCGTTCTTGCATACATATCCTTAATGACTTGAATATAAGCAGTAATAATTCATTTCTTTTCTAGAACTCTCGAGAGCATTTCTCTTGGAACATTATCATTTTCTCTAACTCAAAAAATATCATAGATAGATCCTCCTCTCTTTATATTTCACCATCAAATCTCTTAATAAATGTATAGCTTCCGTAGTAGACCTACCCAGTATGAATCCAATTTTATTTTGAGAAACATTAGTATCACGTCGTAACCTATGATAAAAAAACTTTCTCCTAAAGTTTTAATATATGACACATTAATTTAATTCCTCTATAATTCGCACACTCTTGTGTGTCACCTTTATTCTTAAAATAGGAATCAACAACTATTATATAAATCATTAAAGAAAAATTCTTTGCATCATATATTAACTTCTTAGACTCCTTACAGGCCGTTTTATATATTTTTCATTTTTTGAGCTTTTACATCAAAACCAATTTTTATAATAAAGTTTCTTATTTTTTTATCTTTTTTTGCACATTTTAATTCCACCGCCCACTATTTTTATCATTATGAGCTTTTACTTTTAATAATCCAAGCAAATATTTGCAACATTATTAATATCACTATCTAGTTTTTCCCACATAATATTAGTTGTCTCGTGCACAATCAAAATCTTAAGATCTTAAATCTTTCTCTCAAAAATATTATTGTTAGCTTTAAATACCCCATCTAATTTTAGGACAACATATAACTTTATTTTTTATATTTTGCCCTATCATCTTGAAGTTCAAAACTAATACTTGTCGTTGGATACATAAACCTTCACTTAGAAAAAGCTTACAATCTTTGCAATTTAAACAATCTATTTTTCTTATAAGAAAATAATTAATTTGAGTTTTATTATATCAATTCTTATCAGTGAGGATATACTTCTCTCTTTGCTTAAATAAAGTATTAGCAATTACAAAATTATAAGCTAAAGAAAAATTTAATATGATTATATCTCCTTCAATAGTCTCTCTAAAATCATACACCATAAATGCTTTTAAAATATTCTACCACTTTACCAATATATTCATTAAAATATCCTCCAATAAAAATTATTTCTTCAAGAGTTATCATTTGTATTAGTTCTTCTAAATCATTCTAAATTTTTAATTTTGACATATATCCAAACCTATTTGAGAAGCATAAACACTCATAATATTAATAATTTTAATATCAATAATAATCTTTAAAACTATAGTTTTATCTTTAATTCTATTAATTTTTATAATATTATCCTTCAAGCTCTTATCTATAATCACACATATACTATTTCTAATATGACTCATACCTGAATATCATTATTTAAATCATATACTATCAATCTCCTTAGCTTTCTCTCTAACCCACTTGGTTTCTTGAATGCATATAATATTAATATTCATATGAATCATAATATCTATTAATTCTACTAATTTGTTTGATAGAGAACCTATATTCCAAATTCTTATGCTAATTATAGTATCATGGACTAGATTATTGCCCACATCAGTCCATGATGTGGGAACCCTTATTTAACATAGCACCTAAGTGACGATGTAGTGGTCGTTGCATACTTCTCATTGTATTCAAATCATACAACGCATCACTTCCAACGAATGCCCTAGCATTAACACAATGCATTAAAGTATTCGTGTCATGCTTACTCAACAAATTTTACACTGGTTGTTGACTACCTAACACAACCCTCTATTTTTCTCATCTAAGGCTTGAAACCTGGCAATGGTAGTGTTTAAAAATTCATTAAAACTATTGAAAAGCATGAATCTTATTTGCATAATTTGAAAGAAGAAAAGATAAATGAAAGAGATTAAACATATTAATATCAGTAAATGGTCATTTATATTCAACTCATTGTAATATATAAGACCTAGAGTTTAAAAATTCATTTCATTTCCTTTTTTTATTTATTATACAATAGGATTGTAATAATTCTTTTCTTTGAATTTGATTTTATGCATTCACTCAAGATATATCATAACAAGATTTTATTTCAACTTATGGAATTTTTTTTAATACATTCGATGCAGGCACACAAAATCTTAGCATATTATTTTGATAAAGATTAATTTTGAAATATAGATTTTGGAATGACAATTTGATGTTTATAAATTCCAACCACATGTAAGATTTATCATATAAATTATACTAAATTACAATGTACATGTAAATATATTGAATCATGCTCGCTCCAACAAAAATAAGCCAATCACAATCGCTCCATCCAATTAAAATATAACTATGGAGTCACAATCACACCATGTAAAATAACCCTATGGAGTCACAGTCGATCCATCTAGTTAAACAAACCATTGGAGTCACATTCGCTCCATCTAATTAAAACAAACTCATAAAGTCACAGTTGCTCCATCTGATTAAAATAAATTTATAGAATCACACTCACTCCATCAAAAAAAACCCCATAGAGTCACCGCCGCTCCATCTAATTACAACAAAATTATGAGTCATATTTGCTCCATCTAAAATAAGATTATGAAGCCACAATCATTTCATCTAATTAAAACAAACTATTGGAATCGCAATCACTCTATCAAAAATAAGTTTATGGAGTCAAAATCATTTCATCTAATTTAAACAGACCAATGGAGTCACTCCATTTAAAAAAAAACCTATGGAGTCCAAATCGCTCCATCTAATTAAAACAAACCATTGGAATTACAATTATTTCATTAAAAAATAAGCCCTATGGAGTTAGAATCGCTCCGTCTAATTAAAATAGGCATATGGAGCCAAAATCGCTCAAGCAAGAACAAACCTATGGAGTCACAATCGATGCATCCAAAATAAACCTATGAAGTCACATTCGCTCAGCCTAAATAATAAATAAATTAAGGAAAAAAAATATGTATGCATACCTCACATTTATCTGCTTCAATAACATCTTTTTCCATGAAGCTTAACCTGTTAATAAGAACAAATTGTGAGAAGATTAACAATTGATGTTCATATAGTAATGAATAAAATCAACCAAAATCACTTTTAGTGCTACATAGTGTCCGCTTAAACAATCTCCATGAAAAAATATAAGATAGTCATGTTGCATATGAAGTTGAAATACAAAGGAGTGATAGATGACAATTTTAAATGTATAAAGAAAATTGTATAAATATCCATGTGTGTAATTTGTATTTCAACACTACAACTCCATAAATGTATAATAAATTAAAAAAAAAAAAGATCGTGCTGATGATAATGTTGAAGAAAAAGAAGAACTAACATAGTCCACACACAAAAACATACTTGGTCTACAAGCTTCAGATTGATTGTTATTAGAATTGACAATAAAAAATCCTTCAAAAAACAAATAGATTGCTGCGACTTTCGAGGGAAAAGAACTGTAAAAGGGAAAACAAAAAGTTACAACCATGCTATGACTTAAATAGCTTGGTTCAAGCAAGATGATCTTCAATTAATAAAATTGTTAGAGGGTCATATCTTACTGTGCTACACATTTGCTAATACCAAACTATGCCTATAAAAGAGTAGCTACATTTTAAGCTAAAATTTAGGAATAATTAGATCATGAAGTGAACAATCTTTCTCCATCAGGATGAGTTAATCCAAAGATTACAAAATCCATCCTTAGAATAAAGACTTATAATTCTGACCAAATTGTTTCTCCTACGATATGTGCTACTTCACAATTGATTCATTGCATTTATATGATCATAAACCCCTAAAGTGGATGCCTTTCTATATAGTTTTTTTTTTATTTTTCTCACAAATCAAAATCCTGATATGATAAACTTTTTAAAAACAAATTTAAAAGCAAAACATAACTAAAGAAACAAAAAATTAGGTCATGACATTCACGTGCTTCTATAGCATACTCACATAAATAAGAAATAATCATATTTCATACAAAATTGAAAGAAAGAGATAGAAAGTGAGAGAGTGGTAGGGAGGAAGGACGCAAAAAGAGAGAGGGGGAAGGAGGAAGGGAGTTCAAGAGAGATAGAGAGATAGAGAGAATAGAAAGATAGAGCGAGGGAGGGAAATGGAAGGAGGGAGGGAGAGAGGTGGAGTGAAAGCAAAGCAACGAGTTGTGTAAGAGAAAATGATTTAGATTTGGGGTTGGGGGTGACATAATTTGGAACATACCAAGAAATTACTGATGGATTTCCATCAAGCACAGTATAATGGAATATCCGTCTCAATTCCATTGATAAATTATTGACGGAATATCTGTGAGTAATTTTGTTGATAATTGTCCATGAAAACTTTTCATTGCAAATTTTCATAATTGACCGTTTCATTTCCTGTAGTATTATATGAAAAAATGATTGACCTTCATCTCCAAAACGTCAAAAAAGCTACTGACAACTTGAGTGAGCATAAACTGGGAAAGAGCTTGTCCCAAGAATTGACAAGTTGTCTTCGCACATCATCTCAACAATCTCAAAATATGTTTTTACAAGTTGAAGCATCAGATAACTCGGAGGAACTAAACTTCCCAATGAGAGCAAAGAAATTGAAGAGCTTCAATGACATTCAACAGCCATTCTTATTGTTGAATGAGGCTAGTGGTTAGTTCAATATTCAAGCCATCCACATTTTTTATTTTGATATTTACAAATTCTTAGCCATACCATAAGCATCTACATAGAGCTCTCAAATTTTAGGTTTAAGGAAATCACAACTAAGAAAAATTGTTTTGGCTCCAAAGAAAGAGTAAGAGAAAGATAAAACGTTAAGAATATAACTTACAATCACATAAATATTGGCAATTATTATTTAATACGCAGTCTTCTAATTTTTTATGATAATTATTATAAACTAAGATACAATGTTCCATATGTTTAAAAAAAAACGAATTAGCTGCATAAAAGTTGTGTATATATTTATGCATATTTATATATTAATACTTTATGTAACTATGCGTATCATTTTTGCATCTGTGCCCTATCATGCCCCTTTGTTGCTGCTAAGAGCAATTATTGGTCCATATTAATTTATTTTGTTCAGATATACATATAATGATCAATAACATGTAGGGAAAAAAAGGAGTTAAAATTATTATCTGATAAACATGATTAAGATTGGTTGCGGCCATTACATAAGCCCAAGCTATTTGGTTTTCTTTCTTGAAGGCATAGAAAATTCATTTTATTTTTAATATAAATGGATGAGAAAAAAATAGTATTTGATGGCCATGAACGAATACTGATATACCACACCTATGTCACAAAGGATGATGTTTGCTATTCTTATATGTATATGACTATCAGAATTCACATTTTTTACAAATAATCTTATATTTATAATTTAAAAAGAATTTACAATGGATAAGCCAACCTAAAATATGATGTGCTAGAATTTTAAAACAAAAAATTTATGACCTATAATGGGGGCAGTGAGGGAATCTAAAGGGTTTTGCGATAGCTATTTATTCCTAAACGAGTTCGGCAGTCACAACTCTACAACTATATAAAAATAAATTACATTATCAAATATTTATAAAAATCAGTTCAAGTAAAATGTTTATAATTATATTTAAATTTGGGGAAATATTATAATAATTAGGAAAGAGAAGTCCTATAAATTAAATGTTTTTTTAGAATGTAATTATCAGTACATTTTATAATAAATTAGAATAGATATTAGATTAATTAGATTGATGTGTCATGGAAAGCTATAGGAGATGTTATGAGGAATTGGCTGACAAATCTTTTCAATAGAATTTTGAAAACTAAAATAATGTCCAATGATTAAAGAATAAGCACTTTATATCAATATTTAAGAATAATTGTGCTATTTAATATAGTACTAACTATAAAGGAATAAAACTTATGAGCCAGAAAATAAAGTGAGGGGAGCAATGGATCATCGACTTATAAAAATCACATCAATTTTGGGGAATCAAGCTAATTTCATTACAGATTAAACTACTATGGAAACAATATTTCAAGTTAGGACATTTAATGGAAATTTTATAACATAAAGAAGAATCTTCATATGATTTTTACTGACCTTGAGTGTGATCAAGTATCACCGGTATTAATTTAGTGTGATCTAAAGCAACAATTTGAAAGACATCTTGACATAATTAAAAATATGTATGATGAAGTATTAACAAGCATTAAAAATAATTGTGAAGTGACCAAAGAGTTTTCAATTATCACATGCTTACATCAAGAATGAACATTGAATTCATTTTTTTATTGGTTATCTTACAAATGATATGCAAAGCAAGGAGTCTTAGTTTATGCATTTTGTAGATGATATATTTCTAATAAACAAAACAACAGTTGAGATAAGTATAAAAATACCCTCAAATGTGATATAAAAGATGATCACTTATATCTACATGAGTGTACAAACAAACAGTGTTTGAACTCTCTCTACAAGTATCCTCTTCAACAATCTCCTTGTGCGATCAATCGAACAATCGCCTCTCTACATTAACATGGACTCTTGCTCTCACCCGAAGCCCACCCATATCCTTTATGTGAACTACTCTGGACATCACCTCACAACAATCATTTTGTTAAAAAAAGGTAAGTTTTAATGTTTGTTGATTTTGATTATATTGCATTTCTCATGCATTACAATGATGACACTCTTACATTACCACCATTTACCCAGAACCGAAAGAAAAGAGAAATTCAAATAATCTACTCAAACAAAGAAGTTAGAACTCTGATTCATATAAGATTTGAACCCACATCAAACCTTATTCAAATACACTTCGTGTCTGGTTTGAACCCAAAATTTGGGTTGGTATAATGCTTGTTTGAATATGATTCGAGGTGGGGTTCAAACCTTGTTTGAAGAAGTTTCCAAATAAGGTTTGAACTAGGTTCATGTTTAAGGGTTTTAAGGTTCAAATAATGTAACACCTCGTAATGTGTGTTTCAAACCCCATTATAATATGGTTCATACCCATTTATCAAGTTTATTCCTAGATTATTTGTTTGCTTTTTTATAAATACAAAAGGTAATACTTATTACTACTATTGAGAAGCTTGCATAACCAATATTGATTTATTTAATCATAGGTCATTCTTTCAGGATTTAAGTGCCTTAATAATCTCAAAATTAAGTGTTCTAAGGCTGGTTAGATTCTTCTTAATGAGACACTCATTTTGATTATATGCATGCAACACTCAAATATCATTTGGTCCATCAATTAATATCACAATATTTTCAGCTTCATTTCAAGTACTTGATTTTATGCTCATTATAACTCGAATTGGAAAACTTTCAATGTCGTTGTACTCATCTCATCGAAATATTCAATTTGGTTATAAATCTATTTAAATCATAGTTCAAATGATCCTAAACTTAGTTTTTAATTCAAAAACCGCATTGAGATTCTTGGTTGACCAAGTGGATTTTCTGATGATGTGGCTATAGGTATTGCAAAAAGAAACATAATATACGTTGCATGAGGTTTTAAATTAAGAAGAAAAAAAACGAAACAATATTCATAGTACTAATCCTTACTCATTTCTTTTACAGGTAATGTTTTAGAGATCATACAAACCACAGAATAACTGAATTATAACAATGAAACTTCATGAAAAAACACTGAAACAACATTTTCTATCAATCCATTCACAGATAATCGCCAATTGCAAAGCCATCTAAAGAAGAATTTTTGTTTAAATAAAGAATGATAAATAATGGAATATGTGACTCGAATTCATAGTCTTAATAAGGGGCCGTTGGTAGCAGCATTTAAGCAGGAAACAACAAAAATGACAATTTTAATCTTAAATCCAGTTTCCCCCGTTTTACCTTAAATCCAGGATTTAGCATATCCGTATATGGATTTAACTTACCTCCACAACTCTCCTTCTCCTTCAAACGCCACTGATCCCGCCGATGCCTTCCGGCGAGCTTCTAGCGCGACTTAGTTGCTTCCTTTGTCACCGAGGGTTTCGAGATTTTGGGATCAGGAATTTAGGGGAGAAAAAGGGCTTACGCGTGTTTGTTTATAGTCCTTAATTTATTTTATTTTTTTAATTTGAATAAACTTATAAATTATTAATATTAATTGGTATTAATTATGTAAGACATATTCATAAAAAATAAATTAATCAAAATAATTAAATTTAATTAACAAATAATATAATGATTTAAGAAAATTACTATTTTTTTTTATTTGAATTGATCAAAGAAAAGTTTAATCTTTAATTAGCTTCATAAATTAATAATTAATTAGAATATTATCTTATATTAATTATAATTTAATTATCATAATTAAATTTGATTAAAATTATTAATGCTCAGTCAAGTAAATTTGATATCAATACATAAATTAAAAAATTAAGTCATCCTTAATAATTAATATTTGTTGAGGTGAAAATGAAATAACATAAATAAATTGATATTATTCTTTGGTATAATTTGTCAAAATATTTTTTTTTTTTTGTTGAACCTCTCATATAAACAAACACAAAAAGATGGACATAAAAAGAAAAGTACAACACGAACAACCTAGAACAGAGGTGGATCCTGATCAAAAGGTGATTGTGGGGTGATTGAAAGAACTAGTTAAAGATGTCATACTGATGTTGGATGAATGTGAACTGATGTTGGATAGTTTCAATTTTCTCCCTAAACCAACTCATATCATTAGCATGTTTAGTTTGTTGTTGATCCAGACGAGTCTCAAGTCTATCAAAACGTTGAATCAACTCCTCTTATGGGTAGTGATGAGGAGGTGGTGCAGGTACATGATCAACTGCAGGGACGAAGAACATGATTATAAAAAGACAAAAAATCGAGAAACTAGTTAGAATATCAAAAGAGATAAACCATAAAAAAGAATTTTTTTCAAGCATTCATATAATCAAATTCCCATCCCCTAATAATAGTTCGAATATTTTCAAGCCAATAAACCATGAGTTTCCGCCTTATCAATTTATGAGCAGCAAATATTTTGTCTGAGTGGCCATAAATTCCTACAAGCATCAACTTCTTAAGAAAATACTAACTTACAAAAGCACTAAATAAATCATCAAATAAAGCCTTTTCTAAGTTCAGCATGCATCAACAAAATAAAGACTCAAGGCAATTATTAAATTAGGTTCCATGAGAAAGAAGTAACATCTAGGGAGAAAAATTCTTAGTAATCAAAAGGGCATAGGGCATTTTAATGAAAATGAGACTATAAGAATTATGGACAAAAGGTATAGAATTTTCAACCATTGTAAACTTAGGAATCCCGGACGCAAAGTTTATCCATTGCTTATGGGTCCTTAGAAAGGATTATGTAATGCTAATAAAGAATGTGCAACTTTCTTAAATGATAACCATGAAATAAAATGTGACAAAAAGGGAGGAAATCTTTTAAATGATACACTTAGATAAGTAAGCACGTTAAAGCTAATAGGAGAAGAGACTATTGAAATAACAATATATAAATTGATAAATATTCACTAAATATAAGTATTTGTTCTTTCAACCAAAAAGGTCATCATAATCTATCAACATGGAAAAGTTTTTTCTTAGAGCAAAAAATGTGGGGAGATCAGCCTTGGCAACAACCAAAAAGGTCATTTGTGTAGATAAGGTGAGAAACATTCATGCTGTCATTTTTCATGATACGAAAGTTTCTCATAGTCATCCCAATCTATAGGGAAGAAAATAGGTCCATTGTAACTGTGTAAAGGTACCCATCGTTGATTGTTCGGGTGGTGATGAGCCGATTGGGCAAAGCCCATGTCTCTGGTTCGAATCTCTTGGCAAGCAGTGAAAGCCTTAAGTGTTGGCTCGTGTAAATTGGTGTGGGTTGCATGCTAGGTCAACCGAGATTTTCACTTGCCTAAGAAAAATACTTCCTCGTCACAAAAAAAAATTATGTGTAAAGGAAAGTAGATAATATATACTCTTATGTGATACCTATTCTCAAAGTGAAATAGCATTTAAGTTCTCTATTAAGGATAATATAGAAGGGCATATGAGTGATACATACTACTATCATGTTCACAAATTGTTGTGGGATGCATTTTTACATGAGCTAATAGAGGATAGCCAACTTGTTGATAGGGGTGTTAATTTCGGGTCACGGGTCGGGTTCAGGTCGAATCAGGAACTAATTTGGCACTATTCAGGTCAACATGAACCCGACCCATTTTTGCAAACAGGTCGATTTTTTCGGAACCGAACCGGACCCGCTTCAGGTCCGGGTCAACCCGACACGACCCAAATGACCAGGGGCCGACCAAAAATTGCTAATTTTTTTGGTCAAAAAATGGGTCAATCTCCAATTTTTCAGTGAAAAATGGGTCAATCTCTACTTTTTAGGTCAAAACGGGTTTTCGGATAAAAAACAAATCAATTTTGAGTTTTTGGGTCAACTCAAACCGATCCAATTTTCAAAACGGATCGATTTGTTGAATCCGAATCCGACTCGTTTGGAGTCTGGGTTGACCTTGATCGAGAATTTGAATAATGTTCTCTAAACAAGAATTGATCATCAATTTGGCAATTTTTAAATTTCTCATTCTCATTTCTGTGATGTGATCGCCTGATCGGACCTATTCTTCTTCCTCAGTTCCTACTTATTTTGTCTCAACAATTATTACGTCCTCTGACCGGACGCAGAGGAACGTCCGGTCGGAGGTCAAATCCTGTCAAAAAACGAGTTGTACCGAGCAAATACCGAGCAATACCAAACAATAATGAGGAATACCATCATTTGAAGGACAGAATCTCCTTTTTTTGCCTTTTTCCTCCCGTTAAAACAAGCATTCAAAGATCCCTCTCTGAGAGAATCAAAAGCAAGAGTTCCCTCTCGCTCTCTCTCTCCCGCGGCGATCCCAGTATCAATATCTGCTTACTTTGCCATTGCCCAAAGCAATTCCGGAATTTTAAGCGATGGGTATTACTCATGGCCCGAGCCCTCGCCGCTTATCCCGAATCCAAGCCCTCATCGTCGTCCTCGACTGCGGCGGCGAGTGAAGGAATTGGGAGACGAAACATTGTAGAAAAGAGGGACCTTTGCAGCATTGCAGAAAGGCAGAATGATGGGCTCGGGGTTGAATATTGTCACCACGGTGATAGGGTTCGGGATGAGCGCTGCCTTCATCGTCTTCATCTGCGCACGCCTGATCTGCGGTCGGAATCGCTCTTCCGACGCTCAGTCTACGGCTTTTGAGATTCAGTTCCGCTCTGATCATGGCCTGGTGCGCTTTTTATCTTCTGCTTATCAATTGGTTTTTCTTGAATTGAAGAGTTTCGATTTGGGAAATTTATTGAGGTATTTGAAATGGGCGAAGGTTACTACTATGCGAATCCTTGGCAGTGTGTTTTGGAGTGTAATTAGGGTATATTCTCATGCTTCAACAGTTCTTTTTCAGTTTAAGCATAATCTTAAAAAAAAAAACTGAATTTGTAAGAGATTTATGTCTATTTGACCATGACCTGTATTAAAGAAATGGGGATTTACAACAAACTTGTAAATTTGACAGCTAGTAAAAAGTTTCTCTTCAATTGTTAAGATCTTTTTTCCTGAGTGATCTAACGACTAAACAATTCAAAGCAAATGAACATGTGAATTTATTCTTTGCCTATTGCCAATTTTTTCAATGTAGCTCATTGTAATTAAAAATGCAAGAACCTAGTAATCCTTCAATCATGAATCAATAGTGCATTTTGGCAAGCCATCCCTGCTATATTAGTTTTGTGCACAATTTTACTTGTAATCTTTGTCCAGAAACTGGCTTATTGTTGACTAATTCTATTTCAAATCTTTCCAGTTAGTTTGGGTAAACTTTTGGTGGAGCTACCTAAGCATGTTTCATCTTTGTATGGTCATACATTAAAGCAGGAAATCTCAATAAATTATGTTCCTATTAGTTTCAATCTGAAAAAAACAGCTTTAGGTTGATTTAGGTTTAGGCTTCATTTGGGACGGCTTTCTTACTGCTTCTTAAAGCTGCTTTCTACTAAAAAAATTTAGCTTTAAGAAACAGTAAGAAAGCCGTCCCAAACGAAGCCTTAGTCGAGCAATTAGAAGTTTTTTACAGGACCTATACAATAATACCTGATCTTTTGGTGCTAACCATATATTTGGCAGCCAGAGCATGTGATTCATGGTCTAGAACCAGTTGTCGTGGCAGCAATTCCTACGATGAAGTATTGCCGTGAGGCTTCCCACTCAAAGGAAGATACCCAGTAAGTGCAACCTCTTTGGTGTTCTATGTTCTTATTGTGATTTGCACTTTCTACTCAAGGAAATTTTTTTAAGTTACTTAACTTTGGGGAAAAAAAAAGTATTATGTATGTGTCAACATATGACAGAAAATGCATAAATGTATAAATGTTGTAAACTTAAGTTTTCTTAAGAAAATTTATCAATGGTGATTTTTCTTTTTCTGTTATATTCTTCCATCTTTGAGCTTGTCTTTTACATTTATATATTTATCTTTCATATCCTAATGAGGATATCCTGAAACTTTTGTCCCTTTAACTTGCTTTGATTTTTCTTCACAATTGAATTTATTGTTAGTGTTCAGTTACATTTTTTGGTTGTTTATTGTTGCTCAACTCATCGATCGCGCATTCGCGCCCTGAACATCGTAAGGTGCAATCTGTTTGGAATAATTTGAAAATGTTTTTAATTGATTGTTTGATTGTAAAATATCAGTAGATTTGTTCACCTGCATGATTAGACATTAGATAGAATTCTTGAATAACAAAGCATCTGCATTTCTCCATAATTTTTGGAATCAAGTGCTGATTCGAGTAGATTGGCAAAATTAGTATCATTTTACTTCTATAGCTACTGAGCTACTTGGTTTGATTGGCCCTGATGCAAACTTTCTGTCATATTATGATGAGAAATTGGTGATTCCTTTGTAACATCCACCTTCTTGATATCTGAAGCCCTGGAACAACTTTGGAGGAAATGAGAGGTGCAGGTTTTTCTTGTTATATGCGCCTGTGAAGAAGTTTTGTGCTGTGTAAACATCAAATGAAAAAGTCACGGGGAAAATGTTAACAAATTGGAAATGGCTTATTATTTGATGTCCTGGTTTGAATCTCTACCCAGACCATAACCCTGTTATTGTATCTGACTGATTTTTGGTTACTGCAAGTCTGCAACCAATCGTCAAATCTCATGTATGATATCCATATTGCATAATTGTTGCTCCTAAAACCCTTTAACATTGTTTAATTGAAGCAAAACTATCATCTGGAACTAAATTGACAGTATCCAAATCTGTGTAATATTCATTTTCTAGTCGAAATATCATTGACTTAGGTTTCGTTTGGGACGACTTTCTTACTGCTTCTTAAAATAGCTTTTTAGTACAAGTATTAAAATTGTTGAACTAAAAAGCTGCTTTAAGAAGCTGTAAGAATGCAGTCCCAAACAAAGCCTAAATGGCATGATTCTAGCATGTAAATGTTGCAGCTCAAGGCTCATTTTTAGTGATGCTTGGATTGATTCCCAATTCTAAAATCAGTAGAAAAGAAAAAACTTGGATAAGTTTTGCTGAATATGAATGTTTAAACTGATTTACTCTCTTTTTTTCTCAATTAGATGTTCGATATGCTTGGGGGAATACCAAGACAAGGAGGTGCTTCGAGTAATGCCTACTTGTCATCATAAGTTCCATCTGATTTGTATAGATTTATGGCTGCAGAAGCACTCAACATGTCCTATCTGTCGTTTTCCATTAAACAAACATGAAGCGAGATTAGAATCTCCCTTAGCAAGTTCGCTACAAGTTCATGGGGCGGAGTATACCAACAATCATACTTGGCTTCATCCCTTCCATCAACATTCAGGAAGCAGTAGCAGTAACCAAGAAATTCATGAAACTCTATCTACAGTATTTGGAGATCCTTATGCAGAACATGAGAGTGGTACATAGTGAAGTTGGGAGATATAGAAAGAAGCTCAGGAAGTTTTCTTCTTCTTGTAGAGGAGAACCACAATGGAATAACAAGAACCTCGTTTCTGTACTTCTGAGAAGTTGCAAAGAAGTTGAACAGTGCTGCTAAGGAATCTGACTTGTTCCAAAGATTGGTTTTCAGATCATTTTCTTAAGCTTTTAAAAAGACGTTATAGGTTCAAATTATATCAAAAAAAAACTTTTGTTTGAACAACTTTGATCTTTTAATGGATTGTTTTGGCAGGCTGCAAATAATGTTCTTCTCAGCAGAATGTCTTCACAATGGATGTCAAACTGTTCACTATGTAATTTGTCAAAATGTTTGTGAAGACTCAAAGTTGTAAGGATTTCAAATCAGTCATATAAAGGTACAATCACTCAATGTTGCCAATGTGTGGAAATCATATTTATGAATCTGATCACTCTCCTTGCTCCAGAATTTCATGCAAGTGGCAGTGAGAAAAATCATTTTACAGAGATCAGCTTTATAAAAACATACTGATGCCTTAAATTGGATTAGGCGCTCTTTCTGTCATTGAGTTGTCTTACATAATGCAAGATTGAGGCTTCATTTGGGATGGCTTTCTTATTGCTTCTTAAAGCTACTTTCTAGTACAAAAAGAAGCTGCTTTAAAAAAGCAGAAAGAAAGTCGTCCCAAATGAAGTCTGAATTAGAGGTAATTTACTCATATTAGCTGTGCAATTTATTTTGAATGGTTGATATTGAATCCATTAAAATTTTCAAAACTATTTTGTCATTAAGGGTATTAAATAAAAAATATAGATACTTTGATTTAATTTATATTAGTATGAGAATAAAAATCTTTAGATTTATTTTAAAATTAATGTTGTATATATAGAATTTGTATTGCATTCCTATCAAAATAAATTTTTAAATTCATTTTATTATAAATCATATAGAATATTTTGTCACAATTTTTTTTATATTCAATCCTTGCCATACATAGCACTCCAAATCTTTTTTTATAAAGGTTGAACATGCTTTATTCTCTTATCTATTAAATGAAATCAATATTATGATATTGCTTTTTCTTTCTATGTTTTATAAAAAAAAAATTTACATACATATATGTATTTTCATATCTAAATGTAAAATGTTAATTTCATATTATAGTAAATGACATAAAAATATTATTAATATTAAATTATTTAAAGAATAATATATATTAAAATGATATTTAAATAAATATAAAAATTTAATGTTATATATATATATAATTTTATGCAATGTATATAAATTCACCTAAAAAATATTAGTTTAGATGGTGGTCTAACATATTAAGAGGTTTATAAAGGGGGTGGAAGGATTTGAGAGAGATAGAGGATAGGTCATAGAGACATCTAATTATTATATTTCTATCAATTAATCTCTTTCTTTTTTTGTTTCTTTATATTAATTAATACTAACCTACTTTTTATTTTTCACCTATTATTTTCTGCAGTTATTCTAAAGCATTTTCTGTAGTTACTGTTTATTGTTAAGGGAGAGTTCAAGCTATCAGTTCACATTGCTTTTAACTGCCGCTAGCTAAAGCGGTTTGTTTAGGCTTCATTTGGGACGGTAGTTTAGTTTTTTAGTACAAAAACTTTTAAAATTTAAAAATATATATATACTAAAAAATTGCTTCAAAAAATAATAAGGAAACCATCCCAAATGAAATCAAAGCCTTCGGTTGGGACAATTTTCTTATTGTTTCATAAATTGGTGTAGAAAATAGCCTTCTAGTACAAAATTATTTTGAAAACAATAAAAAAGTTATGGTTAAATAGAAATTGTGGTGGTAGACTTAAAAACAAAACAGTAAAAAAATTATCCCAAACAAAATATTAGTAACATTTGAGAACAAAAATCTAATTTTTTTTTTTTAGTATTTTAAATATCCTAATTTGGCTAATTTTAGAATGCACTGGAAACTTCATGTTGTCATAGCCATCATAGACACCTATTGTCGCCCATCTTAGAAGTCGTTGACTGCCGCCATCATTGTTTATTGTCGACAGTAACTGTCACTGTAATAGCTCACTACCGTCGACAACCACCACCATAGTTGTCGTCCACCATCAACTTCACAGCCAACCGCTATCATCGGTATCATCATTGTTACTTGCTACCTTTACTAACCACTATTTCCATCATTCATAGTTAACCTTGTGGTTGCCATTCTGGTTTGCTATGAACCTTGTCACTACAATGTCTTTGGGCTTCCTTATCATGCTTTACTTTGAATTAATTTTACTTCAAACCATAGGAAAATAAATTTTTTGCAGTCAACCTTTCACATTTTGCCTCTCTCTAAATTGGAGCGGGGGGGGGGGGGCTTGAGATTTAAGAGAGCTCATAGGCTTGAAATATCTTAGACCTCAACCTGAGCACCACTGTCAGACCACGACCATCAAATTGTTGTTCAACTACAATTAAATCACCCCTCAATTGATGTTATTGAACCACCTTCACGTTATCATAATCATCATATCATCCCTGTTACAACCCAACCTAATAAGACTCACATACATAACTAGTCATACCTATTGAATTGAGACAAGCTAGCCTAAGATCTAGGTTTTGGGAGCTTTTAAGATTTCATTTAAAATTAAATAGACTATAGAGCTTCAAATTAACTTCAATGGGAAGAATAAAATAAAATCATCCACAAATTTCTTTTCATTTGTCATCAAAATGTATTTGCAACAAACTCTACAACCCACAATATATGGATACATATCGTAAATAAATAAATAAATGAATAGCAATGACTGCACCCAAAAAAAGGAAAATACCTATATAAATTTAGAGAAATTAGAACTTGAGACCATAGGTACTCAATCAACTCATTTCTTTTCCTCTAATATGAAGCATAATGCATAATATATGTGAGTTAACATAGCTCAATATGTCGCACTTACTGATCTAAATTTTCAATAATACACTGATTATGCATTTAATAGAATGTAAATATAGTTTATAAGAAATTTATTATATTGAACATAATATAAATTGCATTTAACTAAAATAAAATAAATTGTGCATGTAAGTAAATAAATAAATACATCATTTATTAGAGCATAAAGTAATAAATTTTTCCAGGCCCTTATACCTCCCATCGATATCAGAATTCAAACATTTTGTGATTCCATATACTAGCATATCAAAAAATAAACTCTTATGACTCCTTTTGCATTCAACAACACCAGAACTTTCATCACATATTAGATATCAACATGATCACACATTTATTAGATAAACATATATATCATCATATTGAAATAAAAGAAATATAAATAAATCAATTTTTAAATTTAATATAATGCTTTATCGACAGTTAATAGAATTAACCACTAAGAAGAATTTCATAGCTACAGAATATCACTAGAATACTAAATATTGTTTAGAATATTATTTTGAAGCTTTAATTATACTGCAACATGATTCTCTGGGTCAAATTATTTTTAAGTTAAATAAAATCACACGTTTTTCAAATTACTCGATGCAAATTTTCCATAAAATATATAAATATCTAAAATGATTGATTCTGTAATATACATAAAAATATAAGAGGGAAATTTTGAGTGTACAATTATTTTCATTTTTTACACCATAAAATTATAAATTTAATAAAGAAATTTTAAAAAATTATATATTTTGAAAACTGAGATAGACATAATATAACCTGTCGTAATCCGGACAATTTTTAGAACGGGACCAACATAAAAAAAAAGGATTGAAGAAGACCAAAACCTAGCTTTCTCTCTCTAAAAATTCTTCTCCCTCTCTCTAGCCAACTGCATAAGAGGGAAGAAATAGCTTTCATAAAATAAAAAGAGCAGAAAATAATATTTTATAAAATCTTAACTAGGCGACATGACAATCAACCCTACCGCATCGCAGTGTTACTCCCAATGCCGCAATTTGAAATTATTTTGGCAAAAAAGATAGATAACTAAATGTCACAGCGCTGCAACGCCTAGGGAATTTTTTTTTCATACAGATAATTGTTACCCACCGCCATCATTAAACCATCAATGTTACCAAAATGCCACCATTGGACCACCACCCCCTAATTAACACCGTTGGACTACCATCACTTACTCATAATCGTTAGAAAGTCTTACATCGCATACCAACTCTATGATATTTACTGTCAGCTCCACATACTCTTATAACTTGTTTTCCAATTTTAGGATAGGCAAACCTTTGTAACTAACATCTATATAATGGAATCATCTTAGTAGGGGTGTCAATAAATGATATGATCCGTTCGAACTCGAAAAATTCATATTTGGGTTGATATGATCATTTTTTTTTGGGGTTCGAGTTAGAAATCTTAACCGATTAATTATTTAGGTCAGGTTCAAGTTGAATTCAAAAACTAAAATTGGCCTTATTATTATTCGAATTAAGGTTAAATGCCAAGTTCAAGTTAAAAGGGATGTACTCGGGTTACATGAATTATATTGAACTATAAAAAATTTTAAAATCTTTTTGATATATGGGTCAATTGTGTAAGATTTGGGTTAGTTTGGTTCGATTCAAGTTGGGTTTGGGTCAAACATTTTGACCTATATGATAAATGGGTTGGGTTCAAGTCAAGTATGTTTTTTAGTCATGTCAATTTTGGGTTAGACTTGAACCCTATTCACCAATCTGAATTGACATCCCCATATTTTAGCTGGGCCAAGCCTTGTGATTCTTACCATTTCAATATTTTATGTATAAAAACTCTATTGTTACTTCTCACTTGTGCCCTTGTCATTTATCTATTTATGTGTTAGATTTTTGTATAAAATTAGGATGTAAAATTATCTCATTTGCTGTCATAACTTTACTAACACTCAACAAAAACACACCTTGTGAATAAAGTTGAAAGAATGAGATTTGGTGAATTTTTTTTTTAATTTTTTTATGAATTTTTTTATTTTTAAATACTTTATTTTAAAATTTAATTTTATTATAAGACATATGTCTCTCATTCTAACATATAGTGATTAATATTAACCTATGGAGATCTAGATATAAATTTTTTTAGAATAATTATATAAATAACACTTAAATTTTAGCCATTTATAAAGCAAATATCATTATACTTAGATTTTTGAAAATTTTATTTAAATATCAAAATTTAAATCTAATTACCTTTTCTATTAATTTGTTTATGGCACATATATACGTACGTGTATATATATATATATATATATATATATATATAATTCTGCATGGTAAATATGTAATTTATTTTTCAAAATCTGGGTGGCTTAGAGCCGGTCCGGTGACTGGACGTAGCTCTACGTCCGGTCACCACTGAGTTACCCAGTATTTGATGTTGGGGGTCCGTTTGTTGACCTCGATTTCGGCTCGATCGTATT